TCTAAACATGATAATCATGATATGCGTGTCATGTGAAACATGATTACATGCTACGCTCATAGCGTGCTCGCGGTCGTTGCACTAACTCCACATATGCCAAATTTGGTATCACGTGACGTGAAAAGACGACGAAGGTAAATGATACATCCAAGCATAATAATCATGATATGCGTGTCATGTAAAACGACTACGTGCTACGCTCATAGCGTGCGTACAGCCGTTTCACTAGCTCCACATATCACGTCACAGGATACTAAATCTGGTATCACGTGATGTGAAAATGACAAGTCCAAACATGATAATCATGGCATAGAAATCATGTACGGCATAATTTACGTCTGCCTCGTAACGTTGTGCTCATTTTGAAGTGACATATCAACCTTTCTCATTCGAGCTTTGTATATCATCGATTCCTACAGTACGTGGGATCTGCCAATTTTTCAAGTTGAAAAGCTTCTTATACCGGCTTATATGCACTAAAAATTGTACATTTTAAAGTGCAATGTATTTTCCAGGTTATCAGTTGAATTCTACGGAAGTCAAGTCGTGCTGCTATTCAAGTTTGCTTTAACTTCATTTGAACCAAAAAGAATGACATCTGCTCATGCCTTGCTTCAATAGAAAAAAAAAAATGCTGTACAAGTTTGTTGGGTCAATGTAAATAGGCTTTCTTTTTTTCATAACATGTTATATATATAGTACTCTAATTCGATTCAGAATTATTCGACCAAATCGTTACTCGCCTTGAATTTGCTTTTAACTAAAAATTTACTATTCGTACAATACTACAAAAGAGAGATCAAAGCATTTTATTGGCATGCGTGTAAGGAAGTGCAATAGTGTACTCATTTGCAGAGAATGCTTAGTCTGTAACCTTTGAATGCTTCTTGTGAAGCTGGCGCAAATCTCTCACTAGAGCATATAAGTGCTCCAAGTAGCTGAGCATGAGGTCTTTTGCCATGACTAAGTCCTGTAGGGACTTCATCCTTCGTTGGGCCTCCAACGATGGCAATACCTGAATAGGCTGCTGTACCGGCAGCAGTTATGGGAAAAGACAATGACAGCATGGCTCAAGAAACTAGCAATAGAGCGAGTGAGTTTTGCAAGCCAATGTTGGTGCAACCGGGTGGGCTGTCAAAACCAGAGTGGTAGCGCCAATAGGGGAGTTCAGAAGGAAAGTTCCTCCTCCTCTTGCTTTCCTGTAAGCTGCACCATCGACTAGTTTTCCAAGGGGTGGGCAGTGTGTGAGGCACATTGCAGCCACCATGATCGCAGCGCATGACGTCAGTGCGGTCGGCAGAGAGAGCCATTTTTGGCGCACACTGTAGCCGGAATTCTATCGCTATTTGCAACTCCATAAAACGCTCTGTGTGCTGGAAACACTGGTGGAAAAATCAAAGATGGCTATGCTTACCCGGGTCAATGCAGCACTTTCGCTTGGCGCTGTGCTGAAGTTCCTTGATTGTGGCGTGAGATTGTGTTGCTTCGTCGAAGGTGAAAGGTAGCTGCCCACCGACCGCCTAATTCTCATCGTCATAAAGGAATTTGCTCGCCAAACAGCGGAAATAGTGGTGCTGTGCGCACGAACATAGAGCCTCTTCGACACACCGCATCACATTTACTTCAAAATAAAGAACCTCTCTAGCGAGCCTGAGGTTAAAGAAGGCAACTGCTCATGTGCAACGGGGGCTTCTTTGAAAAGTGCCAGCACTTTTGCACTGCATTTCTACACTGCTACAGGCAAGGCCTTAACAGTTTTCAAGGTTACTTTGCTGTGACTTCTTCTGCTGGTTGCATGTATCCCATTGAGTTCTGTTGCCCCGTCAAAAGCTGAATATGCATGCCGTTCACTTGATTACAGTACGGAGGCAAACCCAGGCCAGTGTGTCTTGAGATGAGACAAATTGTAGTTTCGATTGTATTAGCAGTGCTTCTTCCTTTTCGTTTGTTATTAGGTTACTAATGATTAAAGCCTTGTGCTTCCATACACTCACTTCTTCATGTTGACAGTGGTTGATATTCAAAGCAGCTATATGCAAGTATACTACGCACGCTACGCACGGACATGATATATACGCAGAAACATACAGACACTCTACACACGTGCAACCTTCATGCGTGCATTTGTGGGCATATATACAGTCGCCGACCGATTTTTCGGACCTGGCGGGGACCGAAAAAAAGTACGAAAAATCGAACAGTCCGAAAAATTCGTTTTTGTCAAAAATCTGAAGTTTATTGCATCAGGCAGGTTTAAAAAAGTCCTTGATGCTGCCTTGCCTCAAACTACGCTTGGAGACAATTTGGTTTGCCCGTATTTGCGCCAAGGTGACATCGTCGCTGTAAACGCTCGACAAAATTGTCACCGCGTTGGCGATCTCCGATGGCTGCGGGCGGTCGTCGTTGTCATCCGACGACAACGACGACCGCCATCCGGCGTCGACCGTCATCCAGCGACATCTAGCTGCGAACGTCCACTCTCTATTAGCTTGATTATGGCAGCTTTCTTCCCCATCGTCAGGGTCGTATACTTCTCACGCTTCTTCACACCACCTGGCTCCCGCGATGGCACAGATAGCGGAGCCATGGCACTGAGAACACAAAATTCAATGCCGCAGATAGCCGCTGCGAAGCACACAACGTCTCGACGCTACGCGACACAACACGTGCAGAATGGCGACTGAAAAAAGCTGCAATGACAATAAAAAAATCCTTCTTTCGCCTCTTCCCCGTGCGATGTGATGACGATAGCGCTGACCGAAGACGAAAAAACGGCATCCATCACCGCGTCTTTTAAAAAGCAAACACGGCCTCCGAAACTTAAAATATGGCGTGCGCATTCCAATCTCGGAGGCAGGAAAGGCATTTGAAGACCAAGCTTAGCCAAGCCGACGGAAAATCCAACATGGCGGCGTTCACAATGACTTGGGGCGTGGCACAAAACGAGCGATTTAGTCCGAAAAATCGAACTTTCAGGGGCAAATTCGCCCGAAAAAAATCGGTCGAAACAATGCATTAGCTCTATGGGATCCCTGACGGTGCATTTATGAAGTCCGGAATATCCAACAAGTCCGAATTTTTGGAGTCCGGAAAATCGGTCGGCGACTGTATATACACATGTGAAATAAAAAAAAATGTTCGGGATGAACGATTACAGCACCTTAATTTGAGAATGAGTAGCACTACGACTTGTACACAAAACAAGCATATGTAAAAAAATTCAGTCACATACATAATACAACAAATATCCTAAAGTGCTCGCTTATATAAACAAAACTATACTGCATGCTTTGAAAAGCTTGATTATTGATAACAGTCCAAATAAGCTAAATAATGCTGTACTCACCAAGGAGAATTTTGTTGTTGGGAGGGAATCGATTAGAGCAAGCTACCGTAGTGCCCCGTCGCCTTCTTCTCAATGCGTAAGTTTTTGATTTGCGCTGTTCTCCATTGCGCGTCGTCTGCATCTTTTGGGATGGGATCGAATGATACGTTGCCATCTTTCCGCCGCGATGTCACACATCATAGCACACTGCTATGGTCTTGGGGCATCGCTTTCTTTTTTTTGGGCTCGCGCGTGTGGCATGGCGAAAATAAAAGAACTATACGCGGCTGCTTCTTAACGTGTGCAATGTCGTACTAACACATCTCTTTTCAAGGTTGACCCTGTTAGCACCATTTTTAGGTGCGGCCTATTGGTGGCGAGCGCTCAGTTGGCGTCGTGAATATCCGATACCACCATACTGGAGCATCGTAATAAATGGTTTGCTTTACCATAGAAAGCACACAAAATTGGACCTTTTCATCAGTGTTTGTTGTATCCGACATGTTGTTTTAAATGGTATTGTTATACAGTGGACTTGACTGTAATTGATTTGCATGATAAAGAATGACACAAGCTTGTTTAAGTGATTTCAAGGGACGCCATCTGGCATCGGGTATCTTTGCTTGAAAAGGGGAGGGGAGGAGAGCGGCAGACAGTGGCTGTTGTTAAGAGGTGTGGTGGTTCCTTTAGCTTTTTATTATCCATTGTTCATGTCTGACTGATCTCATTGACAATGTTGGCTGAGAGTTGTTCTACTGACAAAGCTTGAAGATTCTGAAAAGAGATAGCACAGCCCCGCCGCGGTGGTCTAGTGGCTAAGGTACTCGGCTGCTGACCCGCGGGTCGCGGGATCGAATCCCGGCTGCAGTGGCTGCAATTCCGAAGGAGGCGAAAATGCTGTAGACTCGTGTGCTCAGATTTGGGTGCACGTTAAAGAACCCCAGGTGGTCGAAATTTCCGGAGCCCTCCACTGCGGCGTCTCTCATAATCATATGGTTGGTGGTTTTGGGACATTAAACCCCATATATCGAAAAGAGATAGCACAAGGGAACACATCTCTACAAAATTGCAGCCCTGGACTGTTTGGGCTACTTCGTATTCAGCAAGAAGCTGGCCTACGTTCCCAGGCATTCACTTTAGAAAATACCTTGGTATTTATATTTTGCATGACTTTCATAATAACTGTTGGCGGGTGAGAACATTTTCAGCAGTCGGGTAAGATTAGGCACCGTGCCTGGCACTGCATCAGACCTACCTTTGCTCTCATAGATGCTGTTCAACCTTGCTCTGGTCACCCTAAATTTTTTTATCATTCAAAGTGACAACTTGAGAATGTTGCATGCCTCTTTTTATTCCCCAGGGTCTTATAAAAGAAAGTTACATATTTTGTAGCGATGAGAATATAATCACGAGCAAGCGTGCCCCTCCTCATTTTAAGAGATTTGAAATCTGGGCCGATGTCTGAGCAAGATTTTACGGTTTGCTATTTAGGACCTCAATTTTTCATCCTGCTAGTCTGAGTTGATACAGATACAGTTGCCAGCTGACAATTCAATGTGGTAAGATATGCAGTAACAAAATGTTATTTCCTGTGCATTGTTTACTCTAGTACATGATGCCTTTGATGAACATGAGTGATAGAAGTGCAACATTTTTTTTTTGCAAATATGTGCAGGATTGTGCTGGGGTCATTCTATACTGTGCAGAGAAAGCAACACAAATGGCTCTAGATGCCATTCAGTGCTTAGGTGAGTTTTTTTGTCTTATTTTGAGTGGAGCATTCCTGATGAGTGCTTAACATTAATTCCTTGATTGCCGATGTTTCTCCCCTGGCAGAAAGACGTACACGTCTTAGTACCGCAATAACAGCTTGTGTTTAGCCAATGCCTCTTAGAGGAGACTATGCCTGTGACGGGAGCCGCAAAAGCGCTTACCTACCCTTTCCGTTTTCCTCCTTTTCACCCGGTCGACCCGGTACAGTTGCCGGAGCCTGTCGCAGCGGCTTTTTGCATTCTGAAGTGGCATTGCTGATAACTCGAGCAAATGATGCGACGCGTATCGGCGATAAGAATGACAGCATTATTGAAACCAATGGAGGAATTGATCAAACTAGAGCGCAATGAAACTTATCTCGATTGCACTAGCAATGCGATGTCGTAAACGAGTTGAAAATGATGCTGTGGAAATAAACAGACTTTGAGAGAAATAAACGCATGAAAAAAAAGTTACAACTCCTGTTCTTGGCAGGCTTTTCTTGCCTTGAGGTCATGCGTTCATAGGAAAAGTGACATTTTTTCGAGCTGTCTGTTCATCTTGCCAAGAGATCCAGTTTTGCTGCGTGCCCAAATGCCCACAGATACCAGCGGAGAGCTATTTGCATGAGCAGTGACTTGAGGCGATTTCGAGAGATGACAGGGTGTCAACACGTATCGCTGTATTGTGCACTAAGGAGTAACTGACAGAAACGCTGCCGCAAAGCTGCTTGAAAGAAAACCCCTGTCGTGAAAAGCTCTTAAACTGTAGCCGAGCTTTCTACCACGAAATGACTGGCATTTGTTGAACTGGTGCTCCTCCAATGCACTTCACGAACGTGCCACCAACAGCCCGCACGAAGCAGCCAGCTGCATCGCTCCATCGACACAATGTTACCAACATCGTCGCTCTTGCTGGCTCTGGCGGTACAGTCACTAGAACCACCACACAGTGCCTGCTCGAAACGTGTGGCAGCGTTTCTCTAATGGCAAAGCTAGGGACAATCCAAGCATAGTGTTTTTCTAGGAGGCGTTGGTTTAGCTTGTTGGTGATTTGGTCTTGGTGATGTTATAGTTGTGTTTTAAAAACGGTCTAAGTTTTTTGCTGAATTGCAAACCATAAGTTCACGCTTTAATCATATTTATATTCTTTATTTTCTGAATCCTCACATTATTTTATAATCAAATTGTATCAATGGAAAATGCAGCAATAAAAAGTTGTGCCATTATGATGCAGTCAAACTTGCTGAAAAGAATATATATGCTCGCCTGCCCAGCTGCACATATTTACACAATCTCCAGGTTAAAAGGGAAAAAATAAATTTCAGATGCATTTTTGATTTGCAGTCATTTAAGCTGGCAGGGGTATGGAACTGACATTTGGCATCAGAAGGCATGGATAGCACTATGGTTCTTGACATACTATACAGAGGCCTGTTCGGGATCTGATAATGTTGCCTTATGCATGTTGGAGCGTCAAATACTTGGCCACACGGGAAAGTTTCATGAGCGGCATTTGTCTTATAAGCAGCTGTTTATAGTTCTTTTTTTTTCTGTAAGTTCTAAATTTAAGAGCAGGCATTACCATACTTACTCACATTATGGCTGCACATACATAAAGGTTCCACCCCTGAATTTGATTGCCAAATTTTTTTATCCCTGCTAAATGATCGCACCTGGAACTTAGTGGCAACTGCAGTGACGATGCAATATATGTGCTGTTTTATCAGGTGGTCATTGTGCCTTGTCCTTTGACCTTGCCTGGTTTTGAAGTTTCAGCACTACTGAAAGTTGTTAGACTGTGTGAGGGCGGCCGAGAGAGGGCGTTACGTGACGGCGTCATCATCATCGGGACTTGGCCGAGAGAGGGCGCTACGTGACGGCGTCATCATCATCATGGGGACTGGAGTGGTGGGGGTTGCATGTGTGGGGAAGGGGGTGTTCGGCCTGGTTGGAAAGAGCGGCAAAACGTAGCGGTGTGGGGTGCGTTATTTAGGGTTAGCGCGTAACAAGTGGGGGCTCGTCCGGGATGGCTTCAGGCCCGACAACAGCAGCGGACGACATGCCTAGGCTCCAAGGTGTCGTTGAAGAGCTGTTGCTGGGCACCGACGGCTCCGCCATGGAGCGCAAACGAATCGCGGCGGTCGTGCGCGATCGAGTGATGGCGACGCCGCTGCCCACGGCTTCACACGTGGGAGCATGGACTGTTAACACTGGCGCGGTCCCTCGGGCCACCGACGACTCTGCGCCTCGGCTCGCCGCTGCGCACCTCCCCCGCTACTCCGGTGCTAGAGACTTGCAGTCGCCGGAGGAGTTTCTTGAACGTTTGGAAAACTTCTGCCTCGTGACGGGTGTCGCCGCCGATAAGCGACTGACACACGTGGTACCGGCTGCCCTCGAGGGTGGCGCGAAGTTGTGGTGGCGGTTCGTGCGTGGGTTCGACTCGTGGGAGCAATTCATTGCCGCCTTCCGCTCCGAGTTCTCGTCGATTGACGCGAAGCGTCGCCTGAAGGCGGAGCTCGAACAGTGCACGCAGCACCTGGAAGAAAATTTGAAGGAGTTTATATATGCGATCACTACGTTTTACGACCGCATCGGGGAAGAAGTCTCCGAAGCCGAGAAGGTGCAGCGCGTACTGAGGCAGATGCACCCTCAGTTGCAAGATTTGGCGGAGGGGCATGCCTACAATGACCTCGCCGAGTTGGTGAAGGCAGCTGACGGCCTAATGGAGCGGGCTTGGCGTCGCCTCCAGTACAGACTACCGCCACTTCCGAGCAATCAAGTAGCCAGAGATCTGGCGTTCCGCCCTAGCCAGGCCCCCGACCATCGCTCACTGCTGCAGCCGAACACTATGGCGACGACGTCGTTCGCTTCGTTTGCTGCTGCCCCACCGGCACCGCCGACTTATCACTGGCCACTGCATCCAGCTGCGCTAGACCCGTCGTACTGCCGGGACCGACAGTAGTCGTGCGACACAGTGCCTCCATTCTCACCCTACGGGCCGGGACCGATGCCGCGGCAGGAGCCCGCGAGTGGAGCAATGCATGTGCAGTGCCATCGCTGTGGTGGATTCGGCCACATATCTCGTAACTGTGCCACGGGTCGACGAATGGGGCCACCCGTTTGCTTCCGGTGCCAGCGATCGGGTCACCTGCAAGCACAGTGCCCGGGAAACCAGTGGCGGTAGGTGCTGCCCCGGCGGGCACCTACGACAGTGCGCACCAAGTAGCGACCACAGCCGGTGGCAAAGAGCCCCTTATGGACGTCCGTATCGGGTCGTTGACGTTCAAGGCCCTGCTAGATACAGGCTCAAGTGTAAGCTTCTTCGGACCGCACGCCGCGGCGGCGGCCCAAGCTTCTGGAGCCAAACCCAAGGCAGACGTACGCGTGCTGCGTTTGGCATCAGGCTGGTCGCAGTCAACCATGTCTCTGAAGTGCCAGATCGAGTGGGCTGCCGGTTGCCGCAGACAGCAATTTTTGTGCGTTCCTGACCTGTGCCGCGACGTTGTCCTTGGTAGGGATTTCCTGACGGTGAGTGGCATCTCTCTGCCACAAAGAATTGTGCCCTTTGTCAAGGCCGTTAAGGAACAGCCAGAGGCAGTGGATGATTTTGGAGACAGTCTGCGCTGCATTTTTGCTGAGGGCGATGCCAGTGTGTGTGCCTGTATGCCGGAGGCGACTGCAGCCTGCAATGTGATCATTCCCGGCCACTCGTCAGACCTAGACCCACGCATGAAACACATTTTAGAAGAGTTTAGAGAAATCTTCACCACAACTCCGGGCGTCACAACCCTGGCAGAGCATCGCATAGACACGGGAGACAACCCACCTGTTCGATGCAAACTGCGACCAGTGAATGCCAAGAAGCAGGCCATCATCGACAACTGCATTCAAGACCTGCTGGCACAGAACCTCATCCGCCCTAGCCAAAGTCAGCATGCCAGTGCTCCAGTCCTGGTTGAGAAGAAGTCTGGTGGCTACTGCATGGCTGTGGATTACCGCCAGCTGAATGCACGCACTAAGGTGCCAGTCTACCCCATGCCGAGGACTGATTGGTTGCTGGCACAGCTGGGACGAGCCAGGTGGTTCTCAAGTTTTGATCTTTCACAGGGTTTTTTTCAAATCTCTGTTCAAGAGCAGGATATTCCAAAGACAGCGTTCATTTGCCATCGGGGAACCTTCGAGTTCATGAGAATGCCCTTTGGAGTTGCCGGAGGTCCTGCCACGTTTCAGACCCTGATGGACCGACTACTGGAGGGAATTAATCACCTGTTTGCCATGGCGTTTCTCGATGATGTCCTGGTGTATTCGTAGACCCTAGAGGATCATCTTGAGCATGTTCGGGAGGTGTTGAAGCGGATAGGTTCGGCACAGCTGACCATTAACCCAGAGAAGGTGCACGTGTGCTGTCAATACCTGAAGTTCCTTGGTTATGAAATATCCCCCGGGCAGTGTAGGCCAGACAAGGAAAAAGTGCGAGCGGTGCTGGACTATCCTCAACCAACAACACTCAAACAGCTGCAGGCCTTCCTGGGACTAGCAGGCTATTACAGAGGGTTCATACCTCAGTTTTCTATCTCTGCACGTCCACTCACAGAACTCCTTAAGAAAAACCAACATTGGCGGTGGGAGCTGCAGCAAGAAGAAGCCTTTAGAGCACTTAAGCAGTCCCTGGCCGACGATGTTGTTGTAAACTTGCCGGACCTCAACAGACCATTCGTGGTGGAAACAGACGCCAGTGGAGTCGGCATTGCAGCGGTGCTTCTGCAGGCAGCCGAGAGTGAGGCCGAGAGTGATGCTCAACTGCGTCCAATAAGCTTCATTAGCAGGGTCCTCACTGAGGCAGAGCAGCGCTATACAGTGCAAGAATGGGAGTGTCTGGCTGTGGTGTGGGCAGTGGACAAGTTCCGACCATACCTTGAGTTCACAGAGTTTGAGATACACTGTGATCACTCCTCACTGTCCTGGATGTTCACCACAGACCAGGCCTCACCATGTGTAAAGCGTTGGGTTTTGCGGCTGCAAGGTTTCAACTGCAGGATCAAGCACAGGTGGGGTCTTGCAAATGTGCCAGCCGACGCCTTGAGCAGAGCTCCCCTTCAGCACCAGGAAGTTCCAAGCCCGAGTCTACACGAGACGCTGTTCCCTATGGCTGTTCCAGAGCCCAGCCCACAAATCAGCTTTGAGGCAGCTGCTGTAACATCTGAAGTGGACGACACTACTGTCTTGAATGATGCAGGGCTCCTCACCCATGAACAAGAGCAGGACCCCATACTGTCAAAACTACGAACTGTGATGAAGGGAGGGAAGCTTCCGCCCACTGACAGTGATCAACCTTTGATCAAAGACCTGGCGGAGACGACCGAGATGGAAGAAAGTGGGTTGCTTGTACAGCACCGAGGGAACAGGAAGGTACCTTGGCTACCAAACCATCTCTGCAACTTGGTCCTGCGACTGTCCCATGACCACCCGATTAGCGGCCACTCCGGCTTTTTTAAGACCCTCAAACGCATTTCTCAGAATTTCGTGTGGCTGGGTATGCGCTCGGACATATCGAAGTATGTGCGATGCTGCCAGGTTTGTCAGCGCACCAAAGCCCACCGGCAGAAGCCAGAAGGGCTGATGAGCAGTCAATGGGCCACTGCCCCCATGGAACAGCTCAGCGTGGACATAATTGGGCCCTTGCCTATGACGCCTCGACGCCACAAGTACCTTCTCGTGGTGATTGACAAGTTCACCAAGTTCATTGAACTTTTCCCATTACGGGCAGCAAACAGCAAGAGTGTGGTGGCCTGCATGATCCAGGTTTTTTGCAGACATGGCACACCTGTCTCCATTTCAAGTGATAATGGAAAGCCGTTTGTAAGCAGGTTGTGGAAGGGCCTCCTTGAGCATTGGGGCATACAAGACCGACACACTGTTCCGTACCGCCCTGCCGGGCAAATGGTGGAGCGCCACAATGGCATTATCAAGCCGTGCCTTAGGGCTTATTGTTCCAACCACAAAGACTGGGACCAGCACATCCCTGAAATTGCCCTGGCCATGCGCACGGCTGAAAGCGTTGTCACGGGCTACACGCCCGCCTTCCTCTGTTTTGGCCGGGAGTTGAGAACCCCATGGACACAGGCTGAGGCCAAAGACGACGCGGAGCCTCCTGCGACAGCATACCGTGCATTTGCTACTGAGGTCTCCAAGTGTCTGCAGGAGGTGCTTGACTTCTCCAGGGCACACCAAAACCACATGTGGCGCGCCCAGAAGACTCGCTACGACCAGCGCAGGCGGTCACTGACAATACAGGAGGGTGATCTTGTTCTGCTCGGAAGCCACTCCCTCAGCGATGCCACCAAGGGCTTCTCCTCGAAGCTTGCACCCCGGCGTTCCGGTCCCTTTCGGGCAGTGAGACGTGTGGGACAGAATGACTTTGTTCTAGTGGACCTCAAAACGGGTCGTCGCCACGGTGTGAGGCACGCAGATCACCTGACACTCTACCATGACGCTGCAGGCGATGTGTAGTGGTGGCTTCACATTTTGAGGGGGGAAGACCTGTGAGGGCGGCCCAGAGAGGGCGTTACGTGACGGCGTCATCATCATCGGGACTTGGCCGAGAGAGGGCGCTACGTGACGGCGTCATCATCATCATGGGGACTGGAGTGGTGGGGGTTGCGTGTGTGGGGAAGGGGGTGTTCGGCCTGGTTGGGAAGAGCGGCAAGACGTAGCGGTGTGTGGTGCGTGATTTAGGGTTAGCGCGCAACAACTGTCAATAAATGCCTCTGTGACAGGTTGTGTGAACATGGTGGCAACGCTATATTAGTATCAGTATTCAGTATTCAGTATCCGTCATGTGGGTGGAAAGCTAGAATGTTACCATATATTGACAGGTTGTTGCACAACTTGAAGGTGGGAAGCAAACATGGTTTACCAGTTGTCATTTCCACTTTGTAAAAGCTGGCTAGTCGGTGGGCACATGTTTGCTAAGTATGAAAAAAAAATTTGAAAAGCATGAATGCAAAAAAGAAGCACACAAAATGCTACATGAGCTGCACCGCTGCAATCATTTACATGTATGCCATCTCACTGTCGTGTTGTAAAATGTACGCAAGCCCGAATTGGAGATGTAATGACTAGGCCTGGCAGCACAAAAGGCCTTTGAAGCAGGAAGGTAATGAGCCTTTAGCTGTTCAGCTTGCATGTGTAAACTGAAGTTTTGTGAGATGAAAATTCTTGGAGTATAGATATGTTGCAACAAGCTGAACTGGAAACTTATCACACCACTAGAAGGGCAAGGAGGGTATGAGCTACAAACATGTCTGTTTAACTGTGTATATAACTTTTTTTTGTATGACAATATGTTCTGTAGCCACTGCATGGTTTGGTGAGCATTTAGTGTTGGCTTCCTGAGGCATCAACTCTAAAATAACTCAATTCATGGCACTGCTCGCTCTGTGTGCCATCTTCTGTCCTTTTTAATGAGTTTTTACCTGTCATGCACTTACTTAACACTCTACTTTAAATAATGAACGCTGGCATTCGTGGTGTCATCATTTTTCTCTTGTGCCTATGTTCTAATGCCCTGTGCCCTGTCTTTTAAGCCCCGCCGCGGTGGTCTAGTGGCTAAGGTACTCGGCTGCTGACCCGCAGGTCGCGGGTTCAAATCCCGGCTGCGGCGGCTGCATTTCCGATGGAGGCGGAAATGTCGAGGCCCGTGTGCTCAGATTTGGGTGCACGTTAAAGAACCCCAGGTGGTCAAAATTTCCGGAGCCCTCCACTACGGCGTCTCTCATAATCATATGGTGGTTTTGGGACGTTAAACCCCACAAATCAATCATCAACCTGTCTTTTAACATGTGCACTGACACTGTGCTTTATGCATGACAATCATTTTCTTGTGATTCCAGGGTGTAGTGTAGATACTGCAGCAAGCACAGAGTGCTGCCATGTGCTGCAATGAGCTATGAGTCCACTCAATGGCTCAAAACCATGTGCTCTGGTTGGTACTGTATATGTAGTTAATGTACCACCAAGATTGGGACAGCCTGAGGCTTTTCTAGAAAGTGAACAGCGTAATGTTGAAAAAAAAGAAAAAAAAAGAAATTGCCCAAAGCTATGATGAGTGGTCATGTAGCTTTTTGGCAGGGCCCTGCACCTTTGTGCAGTTTTTGACGTGCTCATGGAGATGAAAGGAGAGAGAAAGCCACTTCATGTGCTCAGTTACTGCGTGTAACTTCTATGCATCGAGAATTTTATCTGGTTCAATTGTCAGATGAATGACCGATTCTTTAGAAATAAATTTTAGGACCACTTTGAGCTGAATAAACTGGACGGACAACTTGCATAGTGCGTTTACATAGTCAGATTTCAATTTAACATAATTCATTTACTAGCAAATAACACCCAATTATTTTTTTGTGTGTGTTTTACACACACATACAGGTGTTATAAGCATTAAAAATTAGGTGGAATCTTGTATAGAGTTATTGCATGATTAAATATTGCACAATCACATATGGAATCCATACACTTGCATTTATGTTCATCCTATGTGACAACGAATTTAATTAATTGTTTAAGCTTGTAGGTCAAAGGTTCTCATTCAGTGAGAGGTGTATTCAAATAGAAATGGGGCATGTGTTAAAATACATTTAAACATTGTACCAAAGCTACTCTCTCCAGCATTTAAGCATTGTTCCTCTTCAACGTTTAGTGGGTCATCATTTCTAGTTCCTTTCTTAAAGAACACTGCCCATGCTGGGAGTCCGTGCTCAGGCTCAGCTGTCACCCTTGCAAATCATCACTGAGTGGAGTTGAATGCCTTTACAGCATATTTAGTTTTAGATCCCTTTTACACAGTAACATCTTACTCAGTGGCCCAAGAATGGTGTCACTAAAATATGAAAAAATTTTGCTGATGAGGCATTTCATCTTCCAGTGATCGTACCCAATGAGAGAAAACAATAATCAGCCTTATGGCAGTGTCTGCACATCATGATACCTACTAGTATGTTGCACTTTTGGGTTCAAATCCTAATGTGCGGAAGATTTAGTTTTTTCTTTCATGGCACCTAAATTTCTCTTCCTGCCTGGTATAGCATGCTCTTCATAAACTGACTAGCCGTATATTGCATCACCTCGCCTTGCTTGGTGTTGCATTTTGTGTTTTCTCTTTGGTGACATTTTTATAGGTGGTAATGGCTACATCAATGACTACCCGACGGGTCGGCTACTTCGTGATGCCAAGCTGTTCGAGATTGGTGCAGGAACTAGTGAAATTCGTCGACTTATCATTGGTCGGACTATCAACCAGGAGTACAAGTGAGGTCTGATACCATGTTTTGTTGTTCATGATCACTTTTTCATTCATGGTATATGCTGTTCTGAAGCTGGTGAGAGTGCTGCTGTGGTTTTCTGTAGTCAATATTGATGCAATGAATGGGCTGTAAGCAACCATACTTTTATGTAGCATTTGCTTTGTTGCTTCCAAACACAATTTTTGAAAATATACAGGCTTTTTACGCCAACTTTTTTTACAAGTCAGTGTATGATATCACCGATTTGTTTGGTTATAAAAGTTTTGATCGCTTTGTTCTCATTAACACACGTTGTGTGGCAGGTGAGCTCTCTTTTACCAGAAAAATTGCAGATGAGAAATATGATTTCGCATTTAGACTGATGCCTTAGAGTGATTGTCTTCAGCATCAATGAGTATTGCACACCAGGCACTGAAGTGGTGGATGCAAATATCAAGTTATTCTTCTCTTGAAGTGCTTGCATATTTTGATTTTGTGACTAATGGCTGGTGTTTTGTAATAGTTGAGATTATGTACACGCCACCCAAGTGGTACCTGATACTAGTGAAATTTTCATTTATGCCTGTACACAAAAATTTCAGTGTTCACTTTATTCCTAAATGCATTATGAGGCAAAGTCACATTTTCTTTACAAGTTTTATGTACTTGTATTTATGAGAGTACAGATATTTTGTGACTCAGTCGTTGTAGCAGATCAGCGATTTTGAGCCATCGTCTTCCATATGTGATATTTTTACGGTTTCATAAGTAGGGTGCTGTTCTCAGTGCAATCTTGGTGTCGTTTCTATCTGAATCACCATAGTTTTTTTTTTTTTTTTCACTTCTGGACAAGTTGTGATAGTGAAGTAAAGTAACTCAGATAAGCAACTCTTTAAGCACCTTAAAGCATATTTACACTAGAAGTGTATGAAAATATATGAGGTTCAGTTATCACTGCAATGTCACATTGATCATGGCTTCAATTGATTGTTTGTTGCAGCTTAGCATGCTGTTGAGAGTAGTTGGTTCACTGACTACATTTGCCATAAGCCTTTAGGATTTTTTTCTTTGTGAAATCAGCAATATGCTAACTGCAGTCACATAGCATGTTCTTAACTACTGCACGTGTGTTTCTGGTTGTGTGTATTGGTATGATTGTTTGTGTCCATGTTTTAAGTTGTTCCGATGGAGGCGGAAATGTTGTAGGCCCGTGTACTCAGATTTGGGTGCACGTTAAAGAACCCCAGGTGGTCAAAATTTCCGGAGCCCTCCACTACGGCGTCTCTCATAATCATATGGTGGTTTTGGGACGTTAAACCCCACAAATCAATCAATCAAATGTTTTAAGTTGTATTCGCTTGTGCTGTCTTTCTAATTTTGTGACAATGTGGGTACTTTTCTGTCTGACGGGTTCAGAGAGGTACCTGATGTTTAGATATGTTCTGAGATATATATAACTTGCTGTTTCATTGTAGTAGAATGATATCTTGCTGGCATGGAAAATGAAGATGAACTGCATTTATGTATTGCTTTGTCTTGCTGCTGCATGGTAGACTTCTCACAGAAGCAAAACACTGCAGTTGTCTGTAATTTGTCGCTTTTGATTTGTGAGCAAGCTTATCAAACAAAACTTTTGTCGCTTCGTTATTTAAAACCTTCATTGTTCTAAATGAAAAACCTCTCGCCACACTCCTGTGACACTCTTTAGTTGTTGCTAGGTGTTCTTTTTGTTTGCCGTCATGGGTTCTGTATTTGTCATTATTTTGCAAATTTTTTTATTTTGTCCATTTATGTGCAAGCTCAATGGCATTAGCTTAATGTATCTTTGCACTGTGTTCAGTAATCTCAATTAGCTTTATTCAGTCTCCACTTGAGTCTATCCTAAAAGCACTGTGGTCATTCATATGTGACTATAGTATTTTGCAGCTCTTCTGTGTTCTAACCCTATCATTATATCTCATAGACGTGAGCAGTGTTTTGTACTGCACCTCGAGAATGCTTCTTATTCTAGTGAAAAATAAAATGTAGTTAATGCGAGTGCATTCATTCACAATGAGAACAGCATGTGGATACATGGTGACCAGGAACGTCTGTCTCACTTCAGAAAAGAAAAAAATGAAACATGTTGGTTTGTAAGAGATTTATTTCAATAAGTTACTGTACAGTGACAAATAAACCTGCGTACAGCTGAACATTCCATTGCTGTGTGTAATTAAGCTACTACATGACACTTCCACGCTTTATAGATAGTTTGTTTCTTAGAAGTCAAGCCATATCATTTCTTATGTCAAGCCATAGCAGCATTGGTATCACACTTTTTTTCCTCAAAAATGCAATATGTATGTGTGCCTTGGTATGCACCGAGGGATCTTGTTCAACTTCAACTGGTTCTTTTGATGGATAGTTTGTCAGTGTATACTCTACTATATCAGTGCACATTTGAGAAGGCCATTCAAATGAATATTTGCCAACAGAAGGATTGGATGACAGGGAAACAATCGTATGACATTTGCAGCAAAGAGAAAAATTGCAAGCAGAATAAAAAGTAAACCTGCCATATTGTGCCTTACTGCAGAAGCACTTCTCTATGTGTGGTGTCCAGGAAAAAATGTCTCACTCAAAAGAAAATATAGAGAATCGGTATATTGTAAGAAATGAAAGGGCATCCTTGTGAACTACCCTACTATCGGACACCCAGCGCAACGCAAAAGCATTGAACTCTTATATGGCATTCCTTCCAAAGCAAGAAAACATTAGCATCCACAATCACCAACAAGCACAATTGTCTTGGAGCGAGATACAATGATGGTCAGTGTAGCTGATGTGTGGTTATGACCCTTTGAATTTTTTAGCTCATCGGTCTTGAACCGATTTGGTTCTCAATCTTATCTTAGTAGTCAGTTATAGTAGCATGTTGTATGCAACATGCCACAACAAACACTGAACCTCTACAAGCTCAGAAGCACTATTTTGGCAGCATGGACCATTAATTTGCTGGGCTGAAGCTTGTTTGCAAACCATTTTTCTTCTTTGAAAGCAACAGAGAGATTCAGGGTTTGTGGGGAAATGAGCTGTATATTCACTATTTTGACAATCCGAACTAAGTGGCTAACCTCTTGTATTTGCAGTGAGTTTACATGCCATTATTTTCACAGCTGTCTTTATTACCTTTAAACAAAATCATAAAAATTTGGCATTTTAATAACACTGCACTTACGTGCTGGCTTTACATTACTGATGTTTGATGGCATCTTGGATATCCAGAAACACTAATTCATTGTATACATTAGCTCTCTTGCAAGTTTTAATTTGAAGTTGTCTTGAGGATCACAGATCACAATTGTTTCTTTTGGTACCTTCAATCGTGAAACTGCAATCGTTTGGCACAAATGGCTTTAACTACGTCACCTGAATGAAAGGACCTGCACAAAATTGTTGCGAATTGCCTCTTTCCAGCTGGAGGACACTGTGTAAGCATTTGTTTCTTGGTGCCTCTGGACCTCGTGTGCATCACAACATTGGGCTTTCAACAGTGACCTCGCCAGCTTGTTTGTGCAATCTTGAAGGTTAAAGGCACTCCTGTAACGGGGTTTCGTAGACGAACTCAAGTTTGTAAAGACTCACACATTTTGCTGGACAAAAAAAGAAAGTAAAAAAGCACATTCACATTGACCTTCTCTAACCTTGTGTGGCTCTGTGAACGTGAGTTCGTGTACAGGAGCATACATCAAAGGTAGTTGCTCTAGAGCAGCTTTGGTGTCATGACAGTGGACATGATAGTCTTGAAGCTGTTGGACTGCTGGATGCGTCCCTTGGGTGCGCCGAACGCGTTAATCGCATTGCCATAGTCCGGCTGCACAGCATACAACTGATTCTGGACTGGCCGGTGCTCCTGGAGATCGCTTTTGCGTATGTCGCGCCACTCCTCGCCATGGATCATCTGGTAGGTGGGTGACATAGTGATGTCGGCTGCGCTACTCAGCTTGGTGCCAGGCTTGACCATGCCTGTACCACTGCCAGCACTGCCCACGCTCCGCGGTGAGTGCTGCTGCTGTTGAGGGCTGGCGGTTCCAGATCTAGTGGTGTTTGTGGCCCAGGAAGGACAGGTCGATAAAAATACTTCACAATTGGTTAGTTGTTCGGGATGCCCAGCGGCGCTGCAGGCATAGCAGGCAAGCGTGCTGGACCCATCTCGTGTTTACGAATGCATGCTTTACCAGAATTTCTAAGTCATAGCATGTGGGACCTGAAACTGCACTGTTCATGTAAAACTGTCAGTGCACCGGTGTTTCGTTGAGGTTACCCCAATTTTCTAGAGCTTCAGTGCACCATAATTGCTACTGGAAGGCCCAGCCAGAGTTAATGACCATCACTCCGTGGCTTAAGTTCAGCAGAAGCTGTGCACATTACAGCTGTATTTTGGTGAAACAAAAAACACAAAGATGTCAAACGTTGTGTTGAATGCAAGTTTACTCTCGGGGAAAGTATATAACATTCTTGGTGAGCAGCTACTTGATTGCCTGCTTGGCCTGGTGCTCAATGACACAAATACCTGTAAACGTGAGACGGGTCCATACTAGACAGCAAGCACTGCTTCTATCCATTCACACTACATGAAATTTAGGCTCACGACTAAATTGTTGGTTGCCAAGAGTTTTAGGTGCTTAAAAGTTGTCTTTCCTTTGGCAGATATGATTCCATTTGGTGTCTAAGTTTCAAACTATGATGACTTCTTGCAACTAGCACTAGCCCAGGAATGAGTTATTTTAAAATAAGATCACTTTGTAATCAGCTGATTGTGTTATGTAAGAATTTGTGAAGAATGTGGCACTGCTTGAAGGTTGTTTTTTTCAGGTACGGCATTTCCTAAATGTTTTGGCATGTCTGTTTTTTATAGAGGTGTAGCTTTGCCTCGTGATTTCAGTGCTTGAAAATTAATACCGATTGTGTGGTTAAAATTTAAAAAAATGCTCCAGTACATGCTAGAATTATTTGCTTGGCAACCATCAATTAGCCATATACGATGTCTAGGCAGTTGAGCATGCCGATGCACTCTGTGATGACTTATCCAAGACGGCTTTCCAATTGTTGTAGGCATCCTAGCAATAGTGTATGCTTGCATTATATTCCCGGAACAAAATCTTTTCAGAGTGGATCAACATTTTATTCAACGCTGTTGCAGGCGACCTAAGGACACCACAGTTCTGTAATTGGCGCCTGCTGCTTTTTATTTTTGAGTCTGGTTATCACTGTGTGGAAGTTTTCACAGAGTGCAGCTCATACAATGCAGTGCAGGAAATTCGTCACACAGCATGTACTTCACTACAGTAGTAGCAACTGTAGCTGAACACCACCAAACTGCAGAACCATGCATAATGTTCTGAACATAGCAGTGCGTGCTCCGAGTAGTGTGCATTGAATAGCTTTGGCAAAAGATCTCTTGCCAATCGGCCAGATTCCTGGCACTATTGTTTTGTGCATTAGTGTGATCATGGATGCATCGTCATGGTGATACCAAATATCTTTTTGGCTTACAGGCATAATCTGTTTTATTGCCCCCATTATGGTTGAGCACTGAAAAGTTGTTTGCAAAGCATAGCAGCTCTAGCCTTGAATAACACATCTTGTTTGTGATAAGGTCGAAGGAAGTTCAAGTCCTTAATCGAGTACACAGAGCTTTGCCTACGTTTTTGCGTTTGAGTGGTGTGTTGTGGAGCAAGAGACACTGTCCTTACTTTGTTGAAACACTTCATTAGGTGAATTTATGTCAAAACTGCATTCAACATCTATGTGCTTTGAAAATGTTTAAGAATCCTAGCTAAAAGTATGGTATGGGCTCATGAGTATATACATCTTTGGGTGCCCGGAAGATGCTGTGCTTTTCACATTATTTATTTCTTTGTTTATTTATTGAACAATACAGGCAATCCTATTTGATATCATTGCAGGAGGAACAAATGTTAAAGCGTTACAAAAAATTGAATAATACACTGAAAACTAGTTAGAACAAGACTGCCTCGAGACTGCAGCAATAACTGCACAATAGTATCCGGAGAAAGCCACTAGTTTTTTTGTCAGTGGACCTTGGCATACCACATAAAAACTATGCGAACCTGCCGCTGGTCACATGTTACTCTTTTTTTCCTTTTTGCTCAGTGTTTAGCAACTTGAGCACATTGAATTACTTAGTGCATATGCATCTGTGGCACTTTTTATGTGGTTGCTAGTGAATAATTTAGAAAGTCTTTCATACAGCCATTAATATTGGCATTGTCGTAATCTCAATGGTGCTTGTTCTGTCATTCTGATCAACTCAATTGAAAAATGGTAGGAACAGTGTGGATATGGATATTTTTAAAGCTATTCCAAGCTACCATTATAACAAATCGAATAGCCAAATATCCTTTATCATATTCATGCACTGTGTGCATTTCAAAGTCATATGATGTCAAAATTTACCTATCACAGGGGCCCTGCAACACTTTAAGCAGGGGTGGCAAACGCTGCGTATCTGTAGTCAATGCTCCTGAGAACACGTACGCCAAACATTGCAGTGCAGCCCACGGCCAGGAATTTACAATCAATTCTCAAAGTCACTTATATATCGTTCCTTCTTCTCTGCACAAATGATGCTACAAACCTAAGTGCACGCGTATTGGCTGATTTGAGCATTGTGAGTGTCATAGTTGCCGTAACTTCCACAGAATGCCGCTACGTGCGTGCTCGCGAAAGTAAGCCACACAGTTGAAGAAGAAAAGAGTGTTAAGGCCTAAAGGACACGTGCTGAGGAAGGGTCGCATCTTTTTGCTGCCTTGTCATTCCCCTCCCTGCGTATAGCTTTCAGCGTGCTCGCTAGTACGAAAGGTGAAAGAAAGTGCTTGAAGCTTATGACAAATCCTGTTACTTCGCCCATGCTTGATAGATTCTAAAAATATTTCAGTCTATCCATGAGGCTATAATAGCTTTTAAGGAAGCTATTTGATGATTACTTGGGAAAGTGTTGGAGGACCCCTTTGAGAACTCGCACATCTGATAGAACATACCTGCCGTGTTGCATAAAACAATAGCCCTGACGTACAGGACAACTGTGAGGGCGATGATGCATGGGTGCTGTGTTTCGTGGTACCCACCTTAGGAGCTGTTTGCTTTAGCACCATTTGTCCAATATGAATGCTAATGGTCTGCAGTCAAACTTCTGTCCTTAAAGGGACCGACAACTGACTTTTTTCGATCCAGTTTTTTTCTGCGCGACAGAAAGCTTACCCTACGTAGTGATCATAGCTGCAGTAGTTAATCCCAAGAGCTCGTAGTCATTTTATAAGCAGTATTTTTCGATCTTGAAGGCTCTAACAGAGTAGTGCCTTTTCATCCGGCAATGCTGAGTATTGATAGCGATGCCGGTAGCCTTTTTGGTGGACGAGTACTGCTGACTGGGCAAGTTGGTGCATGATAAAATGATATTGCTTTAGCGCAGCTCAGTTGGAACGTGAAGGAAAGAAGGGGAAACTATACTATACTACATATACAGTCAAGAAGGGGAAAAAACAGTGTGAGCGCTAACTTCCAACTTTTGTTTTTTGCATACCCTTACAACACATTATATCAAAAAGAGCTCAATTTTCTGGAGTGCATGCTGTGAAGCATTAGTATAAATTGATAATTTGTAATGAGATCACAAGTACGTTTCCTTGATAGTGTGCTGTGCCACACGTGTGTGGTTTTGTCATGTGTGTGGCCTCATGTGGAATGAGCTATATGATGTATTGTAAGGGTACGCAACAAACAAAAGTTGGAAGTTAGCGCTCACACTGTCGTCTGTTTTTTCCCTTCTTGACTGTATAATATCTTTCCTTCACGCTCAAACTGAGCTGCGCTAAAGCCATATCATTTCCTCTTTCTGGTGGCCTATGCATGCTGTCGTTGTTATTTCGCAGGATTTCCTGGAACTATGCTTAACCACGTCTATTCTGCACTTTACAACTATTTTTGAAAATAACAAGCCGTTACGATGAGACGGTGTGGCTCTATAGAGCGTCCCTGCATTTGTACCGCGTCGCCAAGCCAAGTAATCGAAAACGAAACTGCGCATAAGTAACGAAAAGGCAGCGCCTTTTTAATGTGTACTACTAATGAAAGCTTATATGTATACTTTTATAAAATATTATCTTTTGCTATAAATAATCAAACAATATTTTAGTACTAATCAATAAATTTTTGACTGTGTACATTAACGCATGGTCATGTGACAGGGCATTCATGATAGTTTGTTTTTGCCACCAGAGACACCACAGGCCATTTTTCACGATCTTCAATGAAGAAATAAAAATGGAAATCCACTTTTCATGATAAAAACAGAGTTGGCTTGAGTCACTATAAGGGACAATCTTTCCATCCATGCAATCATCTCATTTCATGTTCTGGGCAGTTGTCGGTCCCTTTAAGTAGTTAGTCACTTAGCACCAGTACTTCGCCTACCTCCCCTTAAGAAAAAGTGTATTTCCAATGGCTCTTCAACACACTTAACTCACTGCAAGCAGCAGTCTGAAGTTTGCAGTATCCATGCAGATTGCATAGTGTCCACTTTGATTCACCACACTAAAGAAAAAATTGAGTATTAGGAGAGTTTTTCTGCCGCGCATCAATAGTCGTCATCTTTTTCGCACACTTTTCTCGCGTTATCACCACTATTCCGGTAGTTCGCAGTCACAAACGGCACGCGCTTATCAATGTGACATTACATTTTTGACAGGAAAGTGGCCAGCGCCGGGTCCAGATTGTGTAGCTTGTCAATTGTTACTTATGTACATGGTGCTCGTTTGATTGAATGGAAGATCCTGTGGTGTTCTCATAGCGCAGTGTGATATTTCGACATGGGTAGCGGTACATTGTGTGATTACTTTGTGGGTTTTCTACTGTAAACACTTCAGGCACCTATCATTGATTGCTACATGATGCAGAATGAGTCATTCGACAGCTGAAAGACTTGAAGAGGGCTTTGGGCAAGCTACCAGTGAGGCTGGGCAATAAAGTTTTCAGTGTACACTTAGCTTAAGACAGTGTGTCTTTTCTCCCTTCT